TCTGTCTGTCTTACCCCTCTCTGTCTCCGTGTCGTTCATTTTTGAAGCCTTGTGGGATATTTGACGACTCAGAAGGTTAAATCTTGGGCAGGAGATGCCGGGAATAACACTGTGGCACTGTGTGGGCACAGACTCGTGTGGGTTAGGGCAGTGCCAGGGCAGGGCAGTGGCATGGGGGAGGCCTGTTCCCAAAAACGAGCTGCTTTAGGAGCTCCACTGCAAATCCAGCCTGTTCCCTGTGGATTTGACACCTCCAGGAGAGCTCTGCAGCCAGGCCACTCCAAAGTCGGGACCTGCCTTGTGTTTTCCCTGGTCCCTGGTGATGAGGGAGCTCATGCCGTGGCCTTTCCACCCTCACTGTTAACCTGTTTTCTTGAAGCTTTTTATACTTCTGTCCTTTTCTCAGATTCAATTTAAATTGGGCAGCTGAAATTAAATGAGGAGGACAGAGAGCCATAGGCACACACTGTGATCACAGAAACCTGATTTCCTAAATCCTAAAATTCCTTTTCCTGCTCTAAAAGAGGAGGGAAAGGCCACAACCGTGAGAGAGATTTGAGGTTTGGTGTAGAAAACTTCACTCGTGCCATACCCTGGTGTGCTTTTGAAGGGTTCTTTTTGGCAGCTGCTCAGAAGTGTTGTCGATTTATTTATTTGTTTACCTATTTATTTATGAAATGCTCCTTTGCCTCCCAGTTAATTGCCAAACTGGTGCCAATATGAAGCGCGTGCTCGCTGTGGCTCGCTCCGGTCTGGGGGACAGGTCTCAGAAGAGGTTGGTGGCTTTGCTGAGACACCAGCTGGGGAAAAAAAAGTTGGGGAAAAGATGATCTGGGAATCAAAAATGCATTAACCGGGCCTGACTGTCAGAGGGTGGGTGGGAAATGGTATGGGAGCCGTGGGAGTGGGAGCGGAGCCGCCGGGCAGCCGAGCTTGGAGTGGTATCAAAGTCGGTGCCTCCACCCACGTGCCTGGCTGGGCGTCGAGGAATCTCTGTTCAGTGTTGTGAGTGAGTGTGCAGTTTGTTTCCTGCAACTACGGACTTGGAAGGGCTAAATTTCGGCTCTCGGGTAAATTTTGTGGCCTTTGATGTGGATCTTTGTCTTGGTACCGGGGCTGGGCTGAGCTGCCTCTGCGCGGGGTCTCTGCTCCTGTCCTGCTCCAGGATGGCCCCCGAGCCCTCTCTGCGTGTCCCGCTGCAGCTCAGTCCCTCCCTGGGTTACTCTGTGCCTGTTTCAGTGGAGACAAGTGCTCTGGGATGCTCTGGGGTCCCTCCTCCCTGCTGTCTGTATCCATCTTCCTCCTGGCTCGGGAGCTGGATCCAGTCTCAGCGAGGGTCCCTCTCCTTGCAGAGGTGTTGCCAAACCTTGTGTTCCCCTTGTCCTCGATGTTTTCTGGTGTTGATGTCCGTGAAAGAGGAAAGACCCCAATCATCCAGTTCCAACCTGCTTCTGAGGGCCAGGAACTTGATTTCCAGATTTTGGAAGTTCAGCCTCTTTGGGTTTTGGTGCTGTAATGTCCTGCTGAGCCGTGACCCTGTTGGGAGCAAGGACGTGTGATCCAAGTCTGAGTGATGCCATGTTTGTGTCGCAGAACGTGGAGTTCTTGGCTTGCTGTTGCACTATAAATTCCAAGTGTGCCACATGCTTAAATTCACTGGTTTTGTTTTTATTTTTGGAAGTCCTTGTGCTTGTCTTCCATTCTTTTGTCCACCCCAACCCTCGTGTCACTTATAACTGAAAGGAAACCCAAGTAATATATTTTTATATGTATAACAAATGACTTTATTTGAAGGAAAAAACAACCCCCCAAGTAATGTATCCCCCTAAATCCAGCTTTCATTTAGGGAAGTGAGAGAAGAAATTGTTTATATCTATATATATATATATATATATAAAAAAGTTAACTGCGTTAAGCTTTAAATAAAGTATTTAAATAAAGAGTTTCTGAGCTGTCAATGTCACCCTCTGAGAGAGCACCAACAACTCCCCCTGGAGCCTCTGTGTGAACCTGCCTTTCCACTGCCTGAGCTGAGAAATGCAAAATACTTATTCCCTTTTTCCCCAGAAAGGGAGGTGAGGCTGAAATGCAATGAGGATTTCCATGGAGGAGGAGGTGAGGGCTCTTTCCACCCCCACGGGGGGTTTGCAGGTGGGTTGAATTCCAGGGAAGGTTCTGGTGGGTGGCTGTTTGTGCCTTGGGTGGCAGCAGCTGAGGGCTGGGGCTGATTTTGGGTGCTGCCTGTGGCCACCAGCCTGGCCACGTGTCCCCAAGGCTGGGATGAGGCTGCTGTGAGGGTCTGTACATCTGTGAGCTCCCAGGAGCAGGGAATTCTCCCTGGTGTTCCTCAGAAACATTGAGCTCCCAGCTGCAATCCCATTTCAGTGGTTCCCCTGAGCTTTGTGTTGGGAAATCTGGCTTGGATCGTTTGAACTGCTGGTTTTCATGTCCTCCAGGTCTAGGTTGTCCCACCTGGGCCTCTCTCTCCTCGTTGGCAAATGCAGTGCTCCCAAAGGGCACTGAAAGCAGCCGTGCCAGGGGGATTTGCTCACACAGAAATACGTGAGGGCTGTTCTCCGACACGTCCTTTATCCCAGTTACACCAGAGATGCTGCACCTCTTGAGGGAGCGAGAAGAATTTCCTTGACCTCAAAGAAGAGAAAGCATGGAGCTGATGTTGGCTGCATCCACTGCTTCCCTGTGGAGCATCCTCTGCTCCATCTCCCCTTGTGTCCTCCCCCTCCCCGCTGGGGCTCGGCTCTGCTGGCTCAGCAGGCTCTGCTCCAGAGGTATCCCAAGCTCCCCGGGAAGCTTTAGGAATGAAAAGCCAGTCACAGCTCATTGTTCACAGTGGGTTGTTCCATGTTTAAGCCGTGGAAGTGTCGTGCAGGCAGCTGGGAAAGCAGTTGGCATTTATGGCTTTCGGGGTGCACGTGTTCACATCCCAGCGACTCTCCCACTTTTTTTTGCTTTTCTGGAAAACTTCCCAAGAGCTGTGTCTGCATTAAGTCGCCAGGACTCTTTGAGAACTTCTTCATATTCGGTTTTCCAGGTGGTGTGAAAGTGCAGGGAAGGACAGGTGACACATTTGGGATTCTCCCGGCGCGGTGTCGCAGCTTCCTCTAGTGGCCGCGGGGGAAACGGTTCCGGAGGAGAATCCAGGTTTGGGACGGAAGGTGAGGGGGGAACCCGAGTCCCTGTTCTCTCCCCCCTTCGGGGGCTCCTTCCTCCACTCTGGGGTTGAAGTTGAGGGAAGGCTTGGTGAACAGCCAGGGGCTGTGCAGAGAGAATTTGGCTGCCCTGACCTTTTTGAGTGGTTCTTGATGAAGTTTGAGTTAATCCATCAGATTTCTTCCCCTGATGAATGCATAAATAGATCTTTTCCCCTTCCCTTTCCCAAGAACCTGTTGTAGGAATAGAGCTTCTCCCAGTGCTCATCATTGGAGGGTTTGGTTTTTTCTTTTAACCCATTTTAAGTGCCTGCTTTTCCCCCAGGGAAGGAGGTTGGAATAGCTGTGAGTGTTCCTGCCTTACAGGGAGAGGATGGCAAAGGAGAGGCTGGTGGTGAGGGTTAAAGGATCGATATCTCTGCAAAGAGGCTCAAATGTGTTCGTTGTTTCTGAGGCACTGGTGGCTTTGTTAGCTAAGCCCTGCTGTTCACTGGGAGACAAACCAAGCCAGGGGTGGTACTGCAGCTCCCTCCTCTCTCAGCCATTTTCTCCTGGAATCTTTCCACTGTCCCTCCGTGTGATGCTGCTCAGCCCTCTTGGGTGGTGTCTCGCCTGTGAAAAGTCATTAATGAAAGGTTGTTAATGAGCCCATTGCCCAAATCCAGCCTCTGGGAGGGCTGCCCTCAGTCTTTCTGGGAAGTTTGTCTTTCCCCCAACCTTGGCTTGTCTAGAAATTCCACACACAGGCAGCAGAACAGGTTTAGGTTCCTGTTGCTGAAGGTGAATTCATTAGTGAGAATTCTGAGAGCTTTGAAGTTGGCAATTACAGGCCAGGGAGTGGAAAAGGCTAATTGTAAAGAAGGGATCTAATTTGTTTTTCTTCCTAAGTGAATGTGATTTTCCAGTTGAAAGGCCCAGATGCCTCAGTGTTACCTCAAACTCCTCCCAGCTCCCTTGGAGACCCTTTAGGTTCTCATCATCAGGAAGTGGCTGATCCTCACCTGATTTGGGATGTCAAATGTCCGAGCTGGAGCCCAACCATTTAGTTCAGGT